CCGCTAGCCCCTCTCGGGCAGCTGCTGCCTCCTCTGTGCGAGGGGTACCTATGGGCGTGGACTCTGGTCCCTGTGGTGTCTGGCAGAGGTCTGCCACCTACGGTGACCAACTTGTCCCAGTTTGCTGAGGACTTTCCCGGGCTTAGCACTGCAAGTCCTGTGTCCTGGGCACCTCCTCAGCCCCGGGCAAACAAGGATGGTCGGTCACCCTGTTGCCAGGGACATTTCTCTTTCCATCACGTCCTTCCCACTGCTACCCGGTCTCAGCCTCCCCCATCTCCACCCACACCCTGGAACTTTCCCCTCTTCTTCCTGCCCCTTCGCTGTCCCCAGGGATCTCTCACGTCTCACTGTCCCTCCCTCTGACTGCAGGCCTCTTCCTCCCTGTTCCTCTCTTCCCTCTCTGTGTCGGGGGTCTCTCTGTCTCCTCTTCCGTCCCCAGGAGTGTCACCTTGTTGGTTTCTGGGGTCTTTCTCTCCGTTCTCTGCCCACTTCCGTGTCTCCCCTCTCAGTCTCTGGTGTCTCACTCCCTCTGTCTCCCGGTTTCTGTCTCAGGGTCTCTGGCCTGCCACCTTCCCTGGGTGGTCCAGGCCTCCCTCCTCTCCCCCGGCCTGCACCCCCAGGGCTGGCTGGGGTGGGAGCCAGGTCTGGGGGCTGTGACCGGCCAGGAAGGGGAACCCAAGCAGACATGATATTTATGTTAGGACTTCAAAGTGGAGCAGGGCCTGGGGCGGGGATGGTGAGGGCTGGCAGGGGAGCGGGGAGGAGGGTGGCGAGCAAAAGCCAGACTAAGGTCAGCTCAGGCCCCTCCCTGGTGAAGGTCTCCTTGGTGACACAACCTCCCCCTGTGGGACACTGAGACCCAGAGAAGGGACAGAACTGGCTATTTTGGTGCAGAGTTCCAAGAAAGGCACTTCCTGTGCCCTCATCCTGCCCCCAGCCCCATCCTTTCTTCCTGTTACCCCGCAGGGGCAGCTGGGTCCTCTGAGCATCAGCCCGGCCTGGGAGGCAGGGGCTCAGAGGGTGGCAGTAGCAAAGGGCTCCGACTTGGCAGGAAAACCTCCCTGGCACCGGTCCTTCTCGGCTCTCTGGCAGAGGCCTTGCCTAGCAGGGCAGCAAGGGTCTGTAACCCTGTTGGCCCTGCCTGGCCCAGGCAGGGCCAGCCCCTCAGGGCCTCTGGGGTCCACTCAGGCTGCCTGCCCGAGCGCCTGAGGGGCCAAGACGGCCATGAAGGTCACTCCAGCCCTGCCCCCACCCTTGGCATAACCCTGCTAAAGACACCCAGCTGCTGGGGCCGGGATGGCGGGGGGTCAGGGGCCCAGGCCCTGGGCGGGGTGAGCGGGAGGGGCCGATTGTCTCATCCGGCTGCTCAGCTCTGTGTCCTAGCCCCTCCCAGGAGCCAGGCCCAGCAGGGCACCCCTTGAGGCTGGGCTACCCCTCAGGAAGCCCCCCTCCCAGACTAGAGGCTTGCTCTAGACCCAAGACCTTCTGGTCTGAAGCCCACCCAGGCCCTCAAAGCCCCAGCCCCTGGGCCAGTGCCCCCCCCCCCCCCCCCCCCCCAGATCTTCCCCAGGCGCTTGCCGTGAATCACTCAGGCTGGAATCTGATGAGCTCAGGCCTCCCCGCCCAGTGCTGCCGGGCTCTGCCTCCTGCCTGGCCAGTGGGGTCTCCACATCCCCCATGGGGGTCTTCTGAGCAACTCACAGCCCCCACCAGGGTCCACCATGAGGTGAGGGGGCTGAGTGGTGGCAGGGATAGGCCAGGGCAGGGAGGGAGGTTAGTCAGAGGGCTTGGACCTCTCTGCATGATCAAAAGCATAAAAAAGTATGTGTGTGTGTCTTTGTGTTATGTATGTGTGTGTTTGTGTGTCTGAGTTTGTGTCTGTATGTGTGTGTGTTTGCTTTCCTATGCCTGTGCAGAGTGGGAAGGAGGACGCTGTGTGCCATGTCTGAGTGGGGACTTGGTGTGGCAGTGGCCATCCTGCATGGATAGGTGTGTGTCGTGCAGTCCCTGTGTAGCAGGTCACCTCATCTCCGTGTCAGCCTGTCCCCATGTGTATGCGTCAGAGTCACATTCTGAGCCCGAGAGGGAGGGTGTTGAGGGAATATCTCTGAGTCTGCGGATCTAGGCATGTCTGTGTCAGGGTGTGGCTCGAAGGAGGGGCTCAGGGGTGTCACTGTCTCGTCCCAAAGGGCGTGAATGGCTGAGTGTCAGGGTGTTCCTAACACCCTGGGTGTTCCTGTCAAGACTAGGGGTGTCCGGTGCTACCATACATGACCATGGCAGGCAGGGTGTCACACTGTGTGTGCAAACGTGAGTCAGGATGTCTCTATGTGTTAAATTGTGGGTGTGAACATGGGTTACAAGGCCATGGCAGGGTGTTAAACGCTGTGCGTTGAAGGTGAGTCAGGGTGTGGTTGTGGGTCTCAATGGCTGCCTTCTTCCCCCACCTCGTAGGGTCCCCTCTCAGGCCACCTCACAGGCCCTGTACCTGGAGGGAAGCGGCCCCTCCCTCTGCCACCTTCCCAACCTCCGTTCTCAGGATCCCCATTCGCAGGACGGTACCAGGGCCCCACAGTGGGGCTGCTTCCCTCCAGGCACCAGGCCAGGGTGGGTCCTCAGGGTGCACGGGGTCTCTGGGTGGTCTCAGGCCAGAAGGAGACCTGGCATGTGAGTGAGAAGGGGCACACTCGCCCCCTGGTGGCAGTGATGGAGAATGCGCCCTTCGGGCCCCTGGAGCTCAGAGGAACTGTTTAGGTTGAGTCTTCTGGAACTAGTCACTCCACATATATTTACTAAGTGTCAATTCCCGCCAGGCATTGTCCTAGGCCCCCAAGATTTAGCGGGGAAACAAGGCTGACTTGGCTCTGGCCTTCTAGTGGGGAATACAGACAATAAACAAACACACACAGAAGGATGGTGATTCTAGAGGTAAGAAGCGCAACATTTCCGAGGAAGTGACTTGGCTGCTATAGATCCAAGCTTCAGGGTTCCAGCCCTGCCCTGCATTGCCTCTCAGAGGCTGGACTTCCTGTTCCAGAAGGCCAAAGGTGGGAGGCAGGGGTGGGGAGGCAGTATCCATGCGCACACTACGCTATTACCTAGATCACACCTGTTTCCCTCTGGCTGGGGCTGTGGGTGCTTGGTGCTCGGTCCCTATGGACACAATAGATTACTGCTGAGGGGACGAGTAAATGTGTCCTGTTTTGGAGGACTGCAGAATCCGAAGTTCCACAGAACCTGGTCTCCAAGCCCTTTGCCCTGTAACAAGCCACTTTCCCTGAGCAAGCCTCAGTTTCCTCATCTGTCAAGTGGGGATAATAAGAGCAGTCTTAGACCGGCCTATCATTGCCTGCCCTGCCTGGAGCCCCAACCCCCGTCTCATGACCCTTGGTCATGCTGATTTACCTGGCCTGGACTCCTGAGTCTCTTGAGAGGATAAACCAAAAGACTCAGGCAGCAGACAGGGCCTGGCAGTGCTCCAATGAGCCACTGCTGGGGCCATGCCGAATTCCCAGGGCCAGGAATTAGGACTGAGCACAGGAAGGGCTTGCCAAAGTCCCCAAGGCAGGGGCCCAGAAGCCCCAGCCAGTCCTAGCGCCTGTGAGACCAGCTCCACATCTGGCCCTGGGGTTCTCCGAGCAACCCCTGCAAGCCCTCCAGGTCCGTCCTCTGGGACTGAACTTGAAGCATCCTGTGTTTGGTTCCCAGAACCCAGCCCTCCCTTAAACTCCCAGCTTCCCACCTCACCGCCCTTCACTCTTAGGTATCAAACTCCAAGCAGTGGACAGCATTTATTGAGCGCCTACGGAGTGCCCAGCACTGTGTGAGGCACTGGGGGGCGTGGGGTAGGGCGAGGGGACATACAAAAGAACGACGGGGAGACTCCCGACCAGCGAGAAGTTTGGTGGGGTGGGGCGTGGAAGTGGGGAGGGAAGAGCTGCTGGGGGCCCAGTGAGAAATTCGGGAGCCCTGCACTGGGCTGTATCTGGATTGTCTGAAATCCCGACGCCCGGGATTTCTACCTTCCAGTTGTCCTGTCTGTCTGACACGTGTGCTGATGTCCCTTTGTGCTCAGTACCTAAGGGAGCACCTCAGAGACCGGCTGGGGTCCTTCCACCAGAGGATGGTTCCTTCCCAGGGAGTGACCCCTGATGCTAAGGGAGCGGAGGGCTGGCAGCCCCGGCCCCCGCATTGTCCCCAGGTTGCCTGGCAGTGGCGGGAGTGCAAAGCCCGTGACCACCTGCTGCTGCGGCTCTGGAGCTGCCCTCGCCCCCGGGGAGTCACCCACTCAGCAGCCTCCTGGGCCACGTGCGTCCCCTTGTGGTCGTTGATGGCATTTTCTTCGCTCAGATTTGCTGCTTGCTCTGAGCCTTGAGGTTAATTTATTGGCGGCTTAGAATAGAGGACGTAGTTGGAACCTGACATCCTGGTTTGGGTGGGGGAACCCCTAATGGCCTGTTGTGTGATACCTTAGGAGTCACATTCCCGAACCTCAGTGGGTAATAAGCCATACCCTGCCTCTCGTAAAGCTCTTGAGGTCCAAAAGAGTTAAGAGCAGAGAAAGTGGCTTCCAAGCCCCCCTCCAGTTCGGAAGCCTGTCTCCAATTCCCCTGGGACCCCAGAGGGCCTGTGAGGCCTTCCCATCTTGGGGAAAGACTGGAAGTCGGTGGTCCCTCGGCTGGACCTGATCTCCAGGCTCTCCCCTGGGCTGACTGGGGAACGTCACCCTTCGTGAGAGCAGAGGACAGACCCTTGGAGGGATGGGGGCGGGGGTTGCTAACATCCCACCTCCTTCCCTCCCCTTTCCCCTAGTCTGAGCTCTGCTTTGCAGCAAAACCATCCATTTTGGCCCCTAGAAGACTTCTGGGAGAAGGCTGGGCAACAACAGCACCCCAACTTTACAGGTGAGGACACTGAGGTTTGGAGGTGCTGGTTCTCCAGGTGGTCGGGGCAGGACTGGTCCCCGAGCCCTTGCTGCCTCCCTGCATCCTCCTGACACCCAGGGGTGGGTGGAGCCTCTCAGGGCCTTGAAGCCACCGCCTGGAGGGGCTGCTCTGTGGCCCTGCCCTGGGCTGTACCCCTCCTCCACAGCCACAGGTTGGGAGTCTGGTGGATTTGTCCCCTGTTGGGCACACTCACCACTGCAGGCTGACTGGCCTCCAGCTGCTGGGGAAGGACAAGGGGCAAAGGGCCTTGGGGCCTTGGTCTGGAGCCCCCCAAACCCCCTCAACTTTACTCCAATGCCCCAGACGTGGCCAGTCAGGCGCTCCTCCAGCAGTGTGAACATGGGGATACATGGCAGACAGAGGTGGTGGCAGACACAGGACCCCAGCCTGGGGTGGGGAAGGCTAAGGGAGCTGTGGCCTTGGCTGCTGGGGCTGATGGCTCTGAAAGGCTGTCCCAGCAGGCTCAGAGTTTTCTGCCCCAAATGACCCTTCTGGCCACTCCCAGCTACTCCTCTGCTGCCTGACTTCCCTCAGCCTCTGGCGCCCCTGGTTGAGCAGGGCTCCCCCTGGCCTGGCCCTTGACCCCCTCAGCCCCCTGGGCAGTTGTCTCCGACTCTCCCTTGCTGTCCCTGGGACTTGCTTTGACGGTGTCCCCATCTCTAGGGCCCCCTTTCCCCTCCTCCCTGCCCCCTGCCTCTGGCTCCCCACCACCCTCCTCTGCCGCAGCCCCAGGTGAGGCCCCCTGGGTCTCAGGCCGCTCTGCCCGGCGGTAGACGAGGTAGCTGGTTGTGGGAAGCCCATGGGCCAGGGCTCCAGGGGGCAGGCGGTGGTAGCCCTGCTCCTTGTACAGGAAGAGGCCGAAAGTGTCAGGCTGGGTCACTCGGAATTTGGTGGCACAGAGCTGGTTCAGGGTGGCAATTGAGGCTCCTGGGGGCACGGCCAGGGTCTTGGAGGTGCAGCCACTGCTGGGGTCCTGATACGCTACTCGGAGGAGGTGCTGTGCAGGAGGAGAAGCGAAAACAAGACCTCAGCCCTGCCTGGTCTCTATCTGGCTGCCAAGCTTGAGGTCCCAGTGTAGGCCTAGCAGGGACAGGGGTGGGGTGGGATAAATCCAGTGGGAGAACCAAGTGGCAAAAGCTTTTTGGACAAGGTGAGCTCCAAGGGGGCTTCTGAGGAAGGAAGAGATGTGCTCGGGCTAGTGGGCCCCAGCTGCAGGCTGGAAGGCTGGCCCCAGCTGGCCCTACAGCCCGACCATCCTACTCAGACAGAGCTTCCTCTGTGCCCTAAGTGCTTGTCCCGCATTAAGTCATTTAATCCTCAATCAAGCCCAGGAGGTAGGTACTGTTACCCCATTTTAGAGATGAGAAAATCGAGGCACAAAGAGGTGACATAACTTGACCAAGTTCCACAACCAGAAAGTAGCAGAGCCGGGATTTGAACTCAGGATCTGGCTACCAAGTCTAGACTTTTTTTTTTTTTTGGTGAGGAAGATTGGCCCTGAGCTAACATCTGTGCCAATCTCCCTCTTTTTTTGTATGTGGGATGCTGCCACAGCATGGCTTGATGAGCAGTGTATAGGTCCGTGCCTGGGAACCCGTGAACCCCAGGCCACTGAAGCAGAACGTGCGAACTTAACCACTATGCCCTCAGGCTGGCCCCCCAAGTCTGGACTATTGACCAAGGCCAGGAAGGGTCCCTTGACTGGATGGAGAGGAGGTGAATGGCAGGATGGCGTCTGGCTCTGAGGACACCAGGCCTGAGCCCAGATGGGAGGGTGAGAGGAGCATGGGCTGGAAGGCTGAGTCCAGGGGAGGGCAGAGCCCCAGTTGGGGGCTGGAGCCTGCCATGTGTGTCCCTTTCCCTCTCCTGTCATGTCTCAATTTCCTCATCTGTAAAATGGGGACAATGATGGCCTTACTTCAGAGTTTCTGTGGAGATGCAGGGCTGCATCCCCAGGGCACTGAGCAGGGTGCCGGCACAGGGGGCGTACTCTTTCTAGAAAGGCCGGCTCTGACGCTTGTTCTGCGTGGGGCGCTGTTTCTATTGCGGGGTGATGCAGGACTAGCCTCTCCCCTGCTGCGTCCCACTGAGAAAAGGAGGGGACTGTGCTGGAGGATGCCAGAGCCCCCGCGCTGGACAGTTTGGGGTGGATGGCGTGGAGGCCCTGTTACCTGGAAGCTGTGGGTGGCAGGCACGCGGCGCTGCTCCCAGAGGCTGAGGGAGCGCTGCAGCTCCTGGGAGGGGCTCAGGGGAAGGATGGCCTGGTCCAGGCTGCTCAGCAGGGCCAGGCTGGCCGAGAGGGTGGTGAGGTAGTAGCCGCCTGGCACACAAGGGGAAGAATGCAGCTCAGGCTGGGGGTGGGTGACCTGTTCCCTCTGCCCTCCCCTGCTTACTCAGGGCCACACAGCCGCTAAGGCACCCCAGCCCCACTCTGACAGGGAGGCGGCGTGTGGGGGTCCCTCACCCTCTCCAGTGAGCAGGGCGGGCTCCAGCAGCTCTGACATGTACTCGGCCTCCAGCAGCAGTTCAGGAAGGTCACACTGGGCCAGGACGATGCTCAGCAGTGGGAGGAACTCATCGGCCCCAGCGCCTTCCCCTGTGGGAGGGTGGAGGAGGAAGCTTCAGGCTCCTCTGGGGCCCCACTCCTCATCTTAGATAGTGACCCTCCCCTCCACCTGCCAGGCCTTGGGCAATGTGGTTTCTAAGGCAACCATGAGCACGGGCTAGGGAGCAGATGCTCTACTTTCTGGGCCTCAGTTTCACCATCTTTGAGATGGGAGGGTTGGACTCTTTTTTTTTTTTTTTTTTGCTGCCGTACCATTCAGGGAGTCTCTGCCTGGTGGTGGGGGCCTGCCTCTGACTCAACAGGGGGCCAGTGGGAGGTGGTGGGAGGGGGCATACCCGCATGGGTCCTCAGGGCTGTGTAGAGCAGCTTGCAGGCCTGCAGGAGCCGCTTGATCTGGGCGCTGGGTGAGTAGGCCCGGAGCAGCTGCAGCAGCTTCTGGCGCACCTGTTCCATCTCTACGGGGGAGGGCAGGCTCACGCGGGACCCAAAGGCTCCGGGACCCTGGGCCCGGGCCAGGCGGAGGCCTTCAGCCAGGCGGCCCAGGGAGCCATTGGCAGAAAGCCGGCGCCGCAGGCGGGCCGCCAGGATGGGCCGGAGAGGCTTGAGCACGGAGCGATGCAGCGACTTCTCCAGGATGCATTCTGTGGAGGAGAGGCAGTCAGGGGTCAGGGGAATCACGGGGCTGGGGGCACAGTCCCGGGGAGAAGGGGCACAGTCATGGAGGGGGAGCGATGAAAAGGAGGAGGATTCTTGGTGAGACAGGAGAGTTGGGGGGAAGGTGGGGGATGGAATTCACTTGAATGGTGGTGAGACAAGTTGGGTTTGTAAAGCAGCAGAACAGACTCAGAGAGGCAGGCTGGCACTGTGGAGAGAAGGCGAGAGGGGAAAGGGGAAGAGCTGGATTATGGAGAGAGGAGGCTGAACCAGCAGAGGCCTGGGCTGGAGTCTCACCCAGCCTCTCAGGCGGCAGCAGCTTCTCAGGGGCCAGCTCTGCGCTCAGCATGGCCCGGGCCTGGCTCAGCGCCTCGCGGACACCCTGCAGCTCCCGGGGCTCGGGGCTGGCCCGCACCTGGGTCAACAGATCCTGCACCAGCTGGCCCACGGCCGTGCGGCGGTCCTGCATCAGTGCTGCAGCTGCCCGGCCCACCTGCCGCTCGGGCGCCAGCAGGGAGCAGAAGGCAGCACTCATGGACCTAAGCAGGGGCCGCCGGCGGCCCAGGAGGGGTGAGGACACGGGGCTCCTCTGGGACCCTGGTGCCCCCTCCTCCTCCGAGCTGCTGGGGGAGCAGCAGTCCACCTCCTGGAGGGAGGGCAGGGGTGGGAGGCTGGGGCCAGCGCCCCCTGGCACACGGTACCCCCCTGAGCTCTCCCTCCGTAGCAGCTGGCGAGGGGGCAACCTTGCTGTCGGGGGGGGGGCTGCCGCTGGCAGCACCGGGACTGGGGGAGGTGGCACAGCAGGTGGAGACAGGGGGCTGGAGGTCTCTGTGGACACGCGCACTTTGAAACTCCTCTTGAATTTCTCCCGTTTGGTGGGGCCCAGGTCCCCTGGGAACAGTGGGTTGAAGAAGCACAGGGCGGCTCCGGTGCCCTGGTCCAGCTCTTGTGGGGACCGAGACTTCAGCCGGGGCAGCAGCGGGCCTTCAGATGGGCCTGGCTGAACCTTGGTGTTGAGGGAGGAGCTCCAGAACTCTAGGGAAGAGAAACTAACTGGGGCCTCAGGGAGGTTCACGGAGGGTGTCCAACCGAGCGAGAGGCACAGGCTTCAGGGCTGCGTGCCTGCGTGCCTTCCCTTTCCCTCTTGGCCTCAGGTTGCCCATCTGTGCAATGGGTAGCAGGGGATCCCTTACCGATGCCCAGATGGGAGATGGCTTCCAGCTCCTTGTGGGTGGCTGCCAGGCGGATGGCTCTGGGGAGCTGGAGCGGGAGGAGAAGGATGTCCCTGAGGCCAGAAGAGGAAGCAGAAAGTCAGGAGTGCGGCATGCTTGGGGCTGCCAGGGTTGAGAGGGCCTGTGGGGGTGGGGAGGACAGGGTGTCCCAGGGGAGCAGGGGCCCACAGACACCAGGTGCCCTGTGGCCAGGCTCACCGTGCATGGCAGTAGGCACAGATGAGCTGGACCAGGTCCAGGAACACGAGCTCCGAGCCCTCCAGGGAGACGCCTGAGAGATGGGAAGTGAGGGTGTCCTCTGGGGAGACCCCCCTGCCCCCCCCAACTGCTTCCAGCCCCTTCCCGCCAGGCCAGTTCCTCTCACCCCCAGGGCTCTCCTGGATGTAGTGGCTAGAGACGAAGGAGGGGCCGCTGGCCTCAGGCAGTCGCACGCACAGGACTTGGCACTGGCGGGTGTTAGATTTCCGCACCAGGAACGTCTGCAAGTGGACAGGGTTCGGAGGCTCAGGACCTCGTGTCCAGCTCCTCTCCCTCCTATCCTCCACTGGCCAGCCCCGGTGGGGGTTGGGAGCACGACTCACCCCCGGGGGCTCGGTCCTCAGTGTGTGTAGCGCAGCCGCGGCGTTGGCCCGCAGCTGCAGCCACACGGGCCGCGTGAGCAGCAGGCGCTCCCGCAGGCTCACGGTGCGCCCGGGCCGCTGGGGCCCACCTGCCTGTCCCCCACCGGCATCCGGCACGTCGTACAGCGAGTCCTGGGCTGGCCTGGAGGCAGGCACCAGACCTGAGCAGGAGGCCAGGCGCTGGGACCCTTGCCCAGCCCTTTCCCCCTCCTCTGCCCCAGGACAGACCATGCTCTGCCATCCCTCCTTGCCCCACCAGGCTGCCCCTCCAACTTCACTAACTTTTTTTTTTCCAGGTGCCCAGGTGCAAAGCTGGTCGGGCTGGGGGCTCCGAGAGGTCCCGCTCCTGGCTCCCCAGGGGTTTCCATGGCTGGGAGCGCCTTCGGTTTCTCCCGGTTTCTCCCGGGACTCAGGAAGAGAATCCAGCCCCCAAGGCAAGAGCATTCACATTCCCGGTGGTGAGTAACACTTCCTGAGGGCGGATCGCCCTGTCACACCCCGCCAGTTAACTCTTGTGTGTCCACTCGGCCTGGGCAGTGCCCGCTGCCTCTCTGTTCTGGGCCCAGCCTCGCGGGGCGGGGCTCCCCTCCACGTAAGCACCACTCCAAGGGCCCTAGCTGTGGGGCTGCCGCCTCCACACAGCACTCCCTGTAGTCCTGCCCGCCTCCTCGAACCACACAGGTGGGCGGCAAGGGGTTAAGCAGGGCCTGTCTCAGTCTCCACAAGCCCAAGCCTCACCCTTGGGGCACCTTTAAGTCTGTGGTCAATTGCTCATCTGTCCACGTCTTGAGGTCAGCCTTGTGGCAAAGCGCCCCCTACTGGTCACCAATGACTCAGTCCTGAGCCTAACTTGGGTTTTGGGATTTCAGGTTGTCATGGAGAAAGGATGCTGTGTCTCCATGGAAACTAACCCCTTTGCTTAACTGAGGTTCTGGGGGTGGTTCTAACACTCAGTGCTAAACAGGGGGAAGTCTGGCTGTGAGGTCGTCAGCACACAGCGCTGCTGCCGGCTGCCTCCCACGCGCACAGGCCCTGCCAGCCTGCTGCGCCAATCTGCCAAGCGACCGGGGCAGGTGCAGACATGATCCAGTCTCCAACCACCGAGCACCCCGCCCCCTTCCCCACCCGAGGCCACGTGCTCTGCCTCTGCCACATGCTGCTGCAGACTTTGCTCAGCAGCACCAGGCAGTCCAGGGCCCAGCCCCCACCTTGGGGGGGAACCCCCCACCTTCCCCAGCGTATAGGCCAAGTCAGAGTGGGTAGGCTCCTGCTGGGTAGTGAGAGAAGGCACCAGGGACCCCCCGAAGAGACTGCCTGTCTCAGGACCTCCCCAGGCGAGCCCTGATTCCCTTGTAAGGTCAATCAGACACATGCAGGCCACACCAGAGTCCCAGGAAAGGTTTTAATTCCAGTCCCCCAAATCTGGGAGGAAGACACCAAGAACCGCCTTGAGAAGACCTGGAGAGCCTGCTCCAGCAACAGCCAGGACAGACAGGCCCTCCAAATATAATTTCTGGCTCAAAGTTCCCACGAAGCGGGGCCCAGCTCACTGGCCCAGTGACTGGGGAGCCGGGTCCACGGTCAGCAAGAAGCATGCTGCTTTGGCTTAAGACGAGGGACGTCCTCATTGTCGGGGAGGGCACAGAGGAGGCTGACCTTCGGGAGGGGGAGGAGGTGGGCTGGTTGGGGATGGAGGAGACCGTCTTGCCCGGCGAGGGCAGCTCCGGGCCACAGCTGTACAGGCCCCCGAGGACGGGCAGAGGAGTCCAGACCAGTGGTGGCTGGAGGGGAGGGCCAAGCAGCAGTGCTGGAGAGCTGGCTGGGCAGACCCTGAGGGGCCTGTCAGTCTGCCTTTCTGCAGCAGGATAATGCAAATCCTGGGTCTAGTGCCAGCTGCTCCAAGGGGCCTGCTGGCTGTGGACAGCAGGGTCACGGTCCTGGGGGTACGTGGGAAGGGGAAATCACTGCAGGTGAGCAGAGGCTGGTCCAAGAGGAGGCAGTCACTTCACATGGGGGACTGAGAGGAGAGGCCTCAGTCTGGCCCAGGGCAAGTGAAGCCAGGAGGGCACAGGGCAGCTCCAGAGCCCTTCTCCGTGGGCCCACCAGCCCTCCCCAACCAATCCTGCCCCATCAACCAAGAGCTTCCCCACCCCCACAGTGCCCTCAAACCCAGACTGTCCTCTCTCGGGCCACGGATCTGACCCGGCCCCTGCCTCTCTCTGGGCTCCTTTCCAGGAAGCTGGGCTGGGGTGGGGCGGTGGGAAACAGAACAATCCCTATGGTTCTTACCATCTGATTTTCTCTTCTGAGGGGATACAGCTGCCCTAGCCTGGGTAGGTGAGAAGAAAAGCCCCCTGAGAGCCTGCCTTCAGTGGGCAAGTCACCCCCGACATCAGCCTCTCTGGGGTGGGGGGCTGCTGGGTCAGTGCTGCACCAAGAGGGCTGGGGAGCACAGACCCCTTCTGGGCAAAGCTCTGAGGTGGTCTCTTGTCAGACGCCTGGCCGGGCCAGCTGCTTTCCCGTCTCCCCCCACCGCCTTTCTCCCACCCCATCCAAACCCGCCCTGGTAGTTTCCTCCTCCAGGGCAGCCTCGGGCAAAAGGAGGCTTGTGAGCTGACCGCAATGCCGGGGAACTGAAGGCAGGGGTGCCGACGGCCGAGCAGAGAGCTCCCCAGACCCTCAGACAGCCCCCCCGGGGAGAGCCTGCAGAGATCAAGGCTGGGGTCTGCGCCGGGCCCTGCGCTGGCAGCCCCTATCCTGAGATGCGGCGGGCAATGCGGGCAGCAGGGTACCCACCTTTTTGATGGCCGTCCAGTCCTCCAGGATGTCAATCTCCTGCAGCATGTACACGATGTAGGGGCCTGCAACGGGCGTCAAGGAAGCAGGATGCCCAGCGTGGGGGGCAGGTGACGGGCCTCGGCCTGGGGGCTCTGACACTCGGGGGGTGGTGCCGTGGATGGTGGCGAGGTGGGCCAGAGCTCAGGCTTCACCTCCTACCTCTCAGCCCCCAGGTTCTCAGGGGCAGGGGGAGGCTACTGTCTATGTTGCTGAGTCCATGGGGTCACTGAGCCCCACCCTGACTTTCCATCGGCTCCCCCTCACCTCCTCTCTCCAGCCTCAAGGTCAGCAGGCCAAGGTCCATCCCACCAGTTCAGGAATCTGCTCCTTCTGTTCTCATCCCCTTAACTGTGCCCTCATCGGGCCTCTTTCCCCATCTACAGACTCTGCTCTCTTCTATCCTGAAAACGCTCCTTCAGTCCCCCAGGGGGGCCATCCACTCTGCCCTCCAGTGCTCTGTACCTAATGCCTCCACGCCCTCCTCCCATTCACCCCTCAAGTCCTACAGTCCAGACTCCTCCCTCCCTGCCCAAACCTGAATCCCATCACCAGGCGGCCAACGTCCTGAGCATCTGGTTGCTGCAGGGATAGTGGGGGCAGGCGGGGGCATGAGAATTCAATTCAACTCTGTGCCGGGCTATGCCAGGAGGGATGAAGGCACAGCAGGCCCTGGACTGAGGGGCTCATGCCTAAGGTGGGGCAGACGCAACTGCTCCCATATGGGATGCGGGTGCCCCAGCTGAGGGCACAGAGGTGCAGGGGAGAGAGAAGCCACAGCCACTGGAGGAAGACCAAGAGAGACTTCCCGGAGGAGGTAACATCTGAGACGAGCACTGAGCAGGCAGAGACAGGCAGAAAGGCATTCCAAGAGGAGGGTGGAAAGTGAGCAAAGGCGTGGGGGTGGGAAGGCCTGGGACACGCCCAGGCACATCGTGGGAAAGCCAGACGGGCCTCAAAGGAGACCTCACTCAAGAAGTTATGGGGAGTCACTGAACGGATGTTTCTATTTCTCTATAGCCACATAGCCCAGGAGAAACCCAGGACCCCACAAAACATTCCTGACAGCTGGATTTTCCCAGACACGGCCACAGGATGCCAAATGACCATAAATGTGTCCAGTCTGACTCTGCCTTCTGTGTCCCTCCACCACCTCCTCCGGGTCTGGAGCAGACCCTGTTGTCCCACCTAGCTCAGGCCACCGTGGGTGGAAGGATACCAGAAACAAGAGGCGCCTTCTTCCTCTTGCTGGGTGGCAGGGAGTCCCAGGTCTTCGAGCTGCCTCTGGCGTGCAGTTTGTCATCCCACCACTCTGTGCCCCGAGAACCAGAGTCACGATCGGGGTGCTGGTCCTCCCAGGCCACCCTCACCCTGTAGCCTCACAGGCGCTAGGCCAGCCCTCCCCATCAACCACCTCCCAGGGCCGTGGAGAGAACGCTGGGCTTGGGAGCTGGCAGCTAAGTTCAGGTCCCGACTGCACAGCTGTGCAACCCAGCGAAGGAGGGCACTGTGCTTTATGAGCCTCGGTGTCTTCAGCTGTTCAGTGGGAGGATGACAATTCCTGCCTTCCCAGGGCCCCGTATAAATGTAGCTGCTGTGGACATGCAGGGGCCTGTGGCTACTGTATGCATGGGCGGGTCAGAATGACACCTCCTGTTCTGGAAGAGAGCAGGGGCAGAGGAGGGCGGGTACCCACTCTTCCTGAGCCCCCACCGTGTGCCAGGCACTGGGCAAGGCCCTTCCACGCTTGGTTTCATTCAGTCCCCACAGTGACGCCCTGAAGCAGGTCCTTTTCCACCCCCTTGTGCAGGCAGGGAAGCTGAGCTCCAGACAGAGCCAGGCCTGGGGCAGGGGGGCCCGGGCCGGCCCCTCGCCTCACCAGAGCTGATGTCCAGGCTCTGGCGGTCCTCCTCCAGCCTCTGGATCCGCTCCTGCAGCTCGCCCTGCAGGGTGTCATAGAGCAGGAGCTTCTCACTCTGGAAGAGGTGGGGCAGCTCAGCCAGGCGGGACAGGGTGGCCACTTCAGTGTCCCCCCCGCCCACCCCCCCCGCGGCCTGCCTCCACGTTCACCTCCAGGTGCTGCTTGGCCCCCTGCAGCTCACACTCGTACTTATTCCTGATCACGTCCAGACAGAAGCCCTTGTAGATCCCTGCAGAGGGAGGGAGATGGGAGGCCCTGCTTGGCCAGGGACCCCGGTACCCAAAAAGGGGGGCCGGGAGCAGGGGTGAGGCAGGGCAGGGTGAGAGAGGAAGGGGACAGAGCCATGGGTGCTGGCAGGGAAGAGGGAGGGGGACTGGGGGCCGCCCCAGGGCACAGGCCAGCCCACAGACCTGCCACCTGAATGCGAATCTTGAGGCTCCGCTGCAGCCCCCCCAGGGGCTCTGTGTACTCGGGCGCTCTCTCGGCCCCCACTTCCTCCAGCCGCACCCGCAGCTGACTCAGTCGCTCCCTGAACAACCTGGAGGTAAGACAGCCACGCACCCATGTGCACCTCCGTCACGCAGGTGCCAGGCGCCCTCATTCCCTCGGGGCCTCAGCCGCCCCTGCCCAGCACCAGGCCCGCCGCCTCCTCACCCCAGGTGCCTGAAGACCCAGCCCTGGGTGTCCCGCGCTCACTTCTCCTTCAGCTCCGAGAACTGCTTCTCCAGGTCCAGCATCTCGTTGACGCACTCGCTGCGGCGCCGCTCGTAGTCCTCGTCGTCCATCTCTGAGACAAGAGGCCAGTCAGCGCCAGCTGAGCAGGAGCGGCGGGCACGCGTGTGTGCGTGTGGGGCTCACCTGAGCTCTCCTCCTCTGACTCGGTCTGGCTGCCACTCCGTTCCTCCTCACTCTCTTCCTCTTCCCCATTCATCTCGGCGGCTGAGTCGCCCTCTGCTTCCATCTCCTCTGTGTCTTTGCTTGGAGGCTGGACCGGCATCTGGGCTCTGCGAGAAGGAGTGGAGCCATCACTCACAGCCCGCAGCTCCGAGCAGGAAAGCGGCCACGTGGGGAGTCAAACCAAGCCTGACCACAGACGGGGACAGCTGGGGAAGTGACTGGACGCACCACACCCTGAGCACATGATGGGTGGGGAGGCTGCAAGCAGCCCTGTCTGCACATCTCCCAGAAGTGTGGGAGCCACAGAAACGCCCAGGCCCTTGGCCACTGTTAGTCATTCCAGTCCTGGGAATACTGGCCAAGGTGATGCTTCATAAGATGGAAAAGGCCAAGGGGGGCTCCCCACTGCCTTTGGGACTGGGGCTTTCTTTTTTTTTTTTTTTTAAAGATTTTTTTTTTTTTTTTTTTCCCCCCAAAGCCCCAGTAGATAGTTGTATGTCATAGCTGCACATCCTTCTAGTTGCTGTATGTGGGCCTCGGCCTCAGGATGGACGGAGAAGTGGTGCCTCGATGCGCGCCCGGGATCCGAACCCGGGCCACCAGCATCGGAGCGCGCGCACTTAACCACCAAGCCACGGGGCCGGCCCGGGACTGGGGCTTTCAAAGCCCTGCAAAGACTAGACTTGGACTACTGGTCCAGCTCCTCACCCCACCATCTAATGGCCAGTTCTCACATACACCATGCACTTCCTCCCCCCTTCTCGTGCTCCACACCCTCCACTTCCCTTCCTGAGAACACTCGACAACCTTCCTGTCTTCTCACTGGGCTCTGGGTCAAATCCCATCTCCTTCTGCTTCCTGTGGGATCTCATGTCATTTCTTCCGTATCTTCAATTCTCCCTCTCGCCAGCTCCTTCCTATGACACTGTGGACACGCTCAGGGATTGTCCACCATTTAGAAAAAGCAGCAACACAAAACCTCACCCCATTCCACTGAACTGCTCCCCGCTGTCTGCCTCTCAGCTACACTTTCAAGGCCTTGTGCACCCTTGCTGGTCCTACTCTCTCACCTCTCGCTTGTTCCAGTCCATTTCAGTACCATCGCTCGGCTGAAACTACTCCTGTAGAGTTAACCAAGGACCTCTTTGTACCTAGTGCCATTTTTCAGTGCTTATCTTAGTTGACTTTGCAGCAACACTAAACACTGCTAAGCAGTCTTTCTCTTATTCACTCATCTACTATTTATTTTTTTTTTGTGAGGAAGATCAGCCCTGAGCTAACATCCATGCTAATCCTCCTCTTTTTGCTGAGGAAGACCAGCCCTGAGCTAACATCTATTGCCAATCCTCCTCCTTTTTTTCCCCCAAAGCTCCAGTAGATAGTTGTATGTTGTAGTTACACATCCTTCTAGTTGCTCTATGTGGGACGTGGCCTCAGCATGGCCGGAGAAGCGGTGCGTCAGTGCGCGCCCAGGATCCGAACCTGGGCCGCCAGTAGCGGAGCGCGCGCACTTAACTGCTAAGCCACGGGGCCGGCCCTCACTCATCTACTATTTACTGAAAAATCTAATATATGTTAGGTACCATCAGACACTATGGTAGTACTGGGCACAATTGTGACAGACAGACAGACAGTCTCTGACCTCAAGGAGTTTACAAGTTCCTGGGAGAGAGAGGCAAAGAAACAGACCATTATTGTGGTGTGAGAAGAGCTGAGACTGGAGGCAGATGGGAGAGGCATCTAACAGAAACCTGGAGCTTGCCGCAGCAGTGAGGGCTTGCAGAGGAAGGTGTGCCAGACCGAGGAGCTGAGCTGGTTGAGGGAAGGAACATTCCAAGTACAGTGAGTAGCATATAATGAGAGAAGGAGCAGAGCTGGGGTCACGTGGATCTAAGCCTCAGAGAGAAATCTGGGCTCAGAAATCTGGTCATCAACATCTAGCGAGTTTTTCAGGTCTTGAGGGAGGGTGAAATCAGCAAGGCAGAATGTGTGGAGCGAGAAAAGGCCCATGATGGAACTCCGAGGGTCACCAAACAGACAGATGATGCAACCTCTACAAAGGAGAAGGAAATTAGCAAGAGGTGGAGGAAGAGAAACTCAAAGTTATGGGGAGAGAGAATTTCAGAAGGATGGAGCAGTGACAGGGCCAAATGTTACCAAGAGATCACCTGAGAGGAAGACTCAACAGTCCTCTCAACAGATAATCTCCGCTTGCTGGGGGCTTCTATTTCACTGTGATGTTTTCCCAAACTCTCTGGGCCCTGCTTTGTAGTCCTTTAGATCACTGTAGACACCACTCCCTCCAGGAAGCTTTATCTGCTTACATCACCTCTCTATTTGTCCATTCTCATGCCTGTCTCCCCAGCCATTCTGTAAGCCTCACCAGGGCAGGGCTGCACATGCGCCGTATTCACCTAACACAGTACTGACTCACTTGGTAACTGGTGGATTTGCAAATACAAATTAAACAAAACAAACTTTTGCGGGGCAGGGATTGGCTTTTACTTCTTGGTAGCGTCAGGCCCCTGTAGTGGTAGCAAACCCAATATTCTGTTAACTTTCCCGGACGCCAATTCGAGTTGTGTAAATAACTAGCCTAGAGGGCAGCTTAGTCACATTCCTCAATGATTTCACAAACGATCTGAACCTGAAAACCTGGGTTCACCAAACCAGCCTTATCTTTCCCATTCTCAAGCCTCAGTTCTTGCAGTTCCCAAATTTCGCAATCCCTCTTAACCATTAAATATATTTACTCTGTAAGACGCGACTTAAGTCCTACCTTTCGGGACCAGAAAGGGCGGCGGAGGGAGGGAGTCTCTCCAGCTGTCGCTGATTCTACTCAGTGAACTAAAGTAAATCACACACACACACACACCCCTCGGGTGCAAAAAAAAGGACAACCACTGCTACTCTAAGTGTTGTAAAGATCGCAAAGGGTAAGAGATGGAAAAGCAAACTGTAAGGCGCCGTGCACATGCAATTTATCTTTTCAGAAAGTAACCATTTCGAGGGCAGGCCTCCATGTAAGGCAGATTCTTCCCCACCTTCGAAGAGGCCAACAGCCCCTCCGCGGGGCGCCGAAGCCTCCCGCCACTGGCTCTCCCGCAGCCAGCTGCGGCTCCCCAAGCATCCAGCCGGTTAAGTCTCCCCTTCGGCCCTGGAGATTGCGCCGGCTCCGAACCGACTCACCGAAGAGGCCAAACCAGGCACCAGGGGTGGCGATACGCACCGCGGAGAGTGGGTCCTCTGGCTTCACGTCCGCGACTCCCAAAGAGGACCCCGAAACCACGGGTATTGGCCGCCGCCGCCGCCGCCGCCGGACTCCCGGAAGCGCTTCGCCGGTCCTCTTCTCCGGGAGGCGGGGCTTGTCTGCGCTTCCGTATGCGTCATCAGGAGGCGCCCGTCGGAGAGCTCATAATTGGACAGCTCGGGGCAAGGCATGCTGGGATACTGCGGGCCGGTCTCCATAGCAACCGGCCGAAATGCAGAGGTCTTCAGCCGGCGGGAAAGGCCCTTGTGGTTTCCTTGCTTTGCAGCCGTCGCCCCTTGGTCCGCGGCCATCTCCCACCCCCGGCGTGAAAGGGGCGAACCCGGGACCTCCCCGTCCGCCCGGTACAGGAGAGTAATGGAGCCAGCTGTAGGTGTGAACACTCATTTATTTACACATTGTCACTGGCAGGCAAATAACTCAGCCCAGCCTATTCGAGGGTTAGAGATCGCGGACTACCACACACACAACCTGCAGACCCTTCCCTTCTCCAGAGTCCCCGAGGACGGAAGGCTGGGAGAACCAGGAAGTTTAGGCTACTGCCCAAAACCTAAGAACTAAATTCAACGCCTTCCTCCGATTTCTTTCCAAAAAGTCCATGTTGTTAAGTACTCAGACTTCTAGCTCTGTCCCATGCATACTTTTTGCTCTCCTACTACCCACCCACCCAAGACTGTTAATAATAATAATAATAATACTGTAATAATATTAATAATACTTCACATTTGTACGAAGCTTACAGAATGTTTTCACATATAGCATCTCATCTGAGCCTCCCAACAGTGCTGTGAGGTAGATATTCTCACCTCCCTTTTTACAGACGGGG